AACATTCTGCCAAAATTGTTGTTCCTATTTCAGATGTTGCCAATCAAGTTGGAAAAAAGCTTTTTTGAAGAACTAAATAAACATATATCCAAATTTATATGGCAAGGGAAAAAAACCAGAATAAAATATAAATTATTACAAGCTGATAGAAAGAAAGGAGGCTTTTGTCTTCCAGACTTCGAAATATATTACCATGCTGCGATAGCAACTTGGCTTAAAGACTGGGTCAATCTGATAAACAAAAGGATTTTAACACTAGAAGGTTTTGATCTCCAACTTGGATGGCACGCATTTATGTGGGATTGAAAGAGTAAACACCATTTTCAAAGGCATTATATAAGGAATGTGCTACTAAATATTTGGGAAAAAATAAAAAAGTACATTACTGCAAGGTCCCACTGTGGTTATCTACAATGGAGGCAGTTACACATCCAAATCTTTTAGATTTTGATAATATTGTAAGATATAAAGATTTATTACATCAAAATGGAGAGTTAAAGGCTAGGAATCAAATTCACATTTTAGGAAAAGAGATATCATGGTGGTCCTATGCGCAGATATAATCGCATTTCAAAAAAGATAAAGAACAATTCGGTTTTAACATGACCTACAAGAATTAGATAAAATTTGGCAAGGAGAGGAAAGGAAGATGATTACTAAAATATACAAATATCTATTGGATTATAAACTAAAAGAAGAAACAGTCAAGGAGTGTATGATAAATGTGGGCCACAGTATTGAATTAGACAAGGCCACAGTATTGAATTAGACAACAAATTAACTATGTCAGCCTCGTATAAAGAGAACTTCTATAAAATGGTGTATCGTTGGCACTTGCCACCCGCGAGACTGGCTAAGATGTTCCCAAACCTCCCCCCAAACTGCTGGAAATGTAACTGCACCCAGGGAACATATTTCCATATGTGGTGGACTTGTCCATTTGTGCAAAAGTTCTGGAAAAATATCAAAAATTGGATTTTAAATAAAACTAAGCAAGAAGTAAAACTTGAACCCGAAACTTTCTTGCTGGGTATGATAGATTCAAAAATGGAAAGAAAATACCAATATTTAATTTTACACATTATAACAGTAGCTAGAATAAGCTATGTGCAAAATTGGAAATTGTCTACCATCCCTTTAGAGGAGATGGTCATCCAAAAAATTCACGAGTGTGCAGAGATGGATAGCCTAACTAAACTACTAAAAAAATAACCAAGATAGTGATTACTATAAAACATGGAATTCCTGGTATGAATGCTTAAAGAAAAGGCAATATTTGACAACTGGATAAGTTATTGAAGACATGCATTTAATCATAAAGTATTTTGTGAAACTAAAACATTGAAAGAACGAAGAAGGTATTGTAACAAGGCAGATCACGTCATTGGTAAAAAATGTTAAAAAATGTGTAACCATTGCTCAACTTTCGCTGCAAAATGTATATATGTATATATATATATGTTTATATGCTCGTTTGTTTTTTTAAATGTTTTAAATGTATGATTCTTAAATAAACTTTCTTTCCATTTGAAAAAAAAAAAAAAATAAAGAGGGAACTAAAACATAAATTAAACAGTACAAAATAAGCAGATAATGAAAAGCACTTGGAAATTGTGGGCTCTTTCCTGAGAATTGACCTGTTCATTTTAGTTAGGTAGGTTTATATTCTGTCTTTGCTCCCTTTCCCATCTTTCCCAATAGCAACCAAACGAGGTAGGTTGGCTTTGAGAATTATGGAACAGGCATAATAGTAAATCTTGTGCTGACTCCCAAAACTGAAGTCTAATTTAATGAATGCCTTGGCCTGCTTCTGCCTTCTTCTTTCTTAGTGTTAATAATTTGAGTAGAGGAAGTCCTTGACCTGCGATCATAATTGAGACCAAAATTTCTGCTGCTGAGCAAGGTAGTTCAGTGAGTTTTGCCCTGGTTTTTTTTCCTTTTTTTTCCTTGGTTGTTAAGTGAATCATGGGGTTTTTAAGTAAATCTTGCTTCCCCCATTGACTTTGACAGAAGCCGGATGGTTGCAAATGGTGATCTCATGGCCCTGAGACAGTGCAATGGTCATAAATGCAAAAGTGTTGCCATGCATCCGAATCAGAGGTGGTATTCAGCAGGTTCTGACCAGTTCTGGAGAACTGGCAGCGGAAATTTTGAGTAGTTCGGAAAACCGGCAAATCCCACCTCTGACTGGAGATTTTACAGTATCCTTCCCCTGCCACACCCACCAAGCCACGCCCACAGAACCGGTAGTAAAAAAAGTGAATCCCAGCAGTGATCTGAATTTTGATCATGGGATTATGGGTCTCTGCAACGGACGTAAGCATGAAAACATGTCGTAACTTTGAATAGTCATTGGTTGTAAGCTAAGGATTATCTGTATGTTTACACGATATATAAATAAATATTCTGCATATCTCAGGAAACAATATCTGCTGGGCTGATAATCACTTGTGTTTCTCTCAGCCAGTGTTTCACTATCTCAGCTGTTTCCACTACCAGCTTTTGCCTCACTTTTTCTCTTTTCTCCCCTTCTTTTTCCACCCCCTATGGATGCAAATCATTTCAACTGAAGGATGCAAATAATTTCAGCTTGCTAAATGTCTTTGTGCCTGTGTTATTTGCCTGAAAAGCAAAGTACTGCTTGATAGCCTGGATTGGTGGGGTGGGGGGCAGAGAAGAACTGGGCTGCATGGATGGTAGGCCGGCATGCATGCAGCCCTTGTGTGATTGGTGGGCCGGTGCGCATGTGTGCAGCCTAACTTGCATGATCAGCAGGCCGGGGAGCATGCACACTAGTGCCCGCCAGCCCACTGCTCGTGCAAGTTGAGCTGCACACACACACACGTGTGCTCCCTCCAGCCACGCATGCGGCCGAATACTAAATAGGACACAGCCCGTGGTGGGCTGCAGCTGCAAGGCGTTGGGACTCCTGCTGTATCAACAGACAAGAGGTGCCCTTTCCTTGATCTGTGTGTGATGGATGGATTGGCCTTCAGCGTGATATGAACCATTTGTGAATGTTGCTGTTAGAAGGCGTAGGAGCTGCACAAACGGTTCTTTTCTTTCATTTTTTAAAAATGCATCCCTGTATATCACTCATCTCCTTTGCCTAATTGTATGATGCCATGAAAGAATCTCATTTCAATTATGACTCAGTTGTTCGGTTTAAAAGAAAAAAGAAAACGTGTTCTAATTACAGGGCAAAAAATATTAAATGTGGTGAGATACCACACAGACCACTACATTTTTATTTAATTCTTTTTCACATTTTTTATATGATTGAAAACCCTTTTTTTTTTTTTGTCTGTTCATGGAGACTGCCTGGATAAACCCCTGCCATTTTCTTGGCAAGGTTTTTCAGAAGTGGTTTGCCATTGCCTCCTTCTAGGGCTAAGAGAAAGTGATTAGCCCAAGTCACCCATCTGGCTTTGAGCCAAAGGATCTGAAGAATCTGGATCTCACGGCATCCTACTTTCTAGCCTGGTGCCTTAACCGTTACGCCAAGCCAGCTCTCATTTTAAATTAAATGTGTATGTGCCTTTTGATTCTGTATCAAATCAAGCGTAGGCAATGCCAATTTTCCTGGTGTATCAAAAAACAGGCTATAATCAGCTGAATTCCTAAAAAGCTCTTAAGTTTCTTTTGCTTCCCAGTGTTATTGTTGATTGTTACATGCTAATTGACAGCCTCTGGTAAACAGGTTGTCCACGAATTACAACAATTGAACCCAAAATTTATGTTGCTAAGTGAGTCATGTGTTTAAGTGAGTTTTGCCCCATTTTGCGACATTGAGAAAGAAACTAGTCAGCAAAACTTGAGTGGATATCATAGTTATAGACCCTGGAAACAGACTAGTGAGGAGCTCTGTTCTTTCCAAGCTGCTGCAGAAGTCAAGGAGCATTTTCAGCTCTTTGGTCCATCTCTCCATCTTCCTTGGAATCCCTTTTAAAAAGCCCCAGAAACTAAGGACAGGATTTTCTAGCATTTAGCTAAGTTGGGAAGAGGACAAGCTTTGCTCTCTTGCCAAGAGAACTGGAAAAAAAGCCTGACAAATAGTTCATTGTCAGCTTCTTATGAATTTCTGGTAATTTTCTTTAAGCTCATGCTCAGAAAAATTGGATGTGCCCCTTTCCTCTCCCCCCACTCCTTCCCTTGGGTATTTTGTGACTGTTTGGTTCTTGAAATAAAGTGTCTGGCACTATAAAACCAGCCCAAAATTTTGGGGCCTTGCTCTCTTCCTCATTTGCTCCCTTTAAAAACAGGTCTCCTTTCACTGAAGTAACTGAGAAACAAGTAGTCCTCAACTTATGACCACAACTGAGTCCAAAATTTTTGTTTCCTAAGCGAGACATTTGTTAAGTGAGTTTTGCCCCATTTTCCCACCGTTCTTGCCATGGCTGTTAAGTGAATCTTTGCTTGGCTTGTTGGAGGTTTGCAAAAGCTGATCACATGACCTCAGGACACGGCAACTGTCACAAATAGGAACCAGTTGCCAAGGGTCCAAATTTTGGTCACATGACCACGAGGATGCTGCAACGGCTGTAAGTGTGAAAAACAGGCATAAATCACTTTGTTCAGTGCCTTTATAACTTTGAACGGTCACTCAGTGAAACCATTGTAAGTTAAGGACTACCTGTATAGAAAAGTAATTCAGAATGTCTTCAAAATAGAGGGCCAGGAAGAGTCAGGGCAAAGGGCAAAGGGCAAGGAGCAGTAAATTGCGGCTCTAGAGCCCTGGTAGCCCTTTAAGGCTGAGAGCCACCTCCTGGACCTCCGTCTTCTTGCTCCAACTCACTGCTTTGTACCTGGTGGAAGTGGCTGGAAGGGCTGTAGGAAGGGCTGGTGGGAATATGCCCCAGTTCCAGATAAAGAAAGCAGCATTAGGCTGGCAATTGAAGGCAAAGGGGAGGCAACGAGAGGAGCAGGGCTCGCTCCCAACATCTAGCCTGGGACCTGCGATAGCTCCTTCGGGCTTAATAGACTGTCTGCTGGCTAAGCACTGGGAGTTGGCAGCCCGGCGAGCGAGTCTGACTGCACGCTGTGGCAGGAGCCGCTGCCAAAAGAAAAAGGCCACCCACTTTTCTCCTCTGCCGCTGCCCTTCCCGGGACAGCCTCGCGCGTCCTCGCATTCTGCGGACGGGCAGCGGCCTCCTGACTGCGGCGAGATGGAGCTCCGCTGGAAGGAGGAGACGGAGGAAGAGGAGGCGCTGCCGAAGAAGCGAGACGAAGTGGAGCGAGGGAAAGCCAAGCGGGCCGGGGAGGGAGCAGGTGCCGCGGGCATCGCGCCGCTAGAAGAAGGCGTCTCTCATCCTGCAAGCCGCCCGGCGGAGGAGAGAATGCCCGAGGAAGGTGAGAGCCAAGGGCGAGGGGATTCCTCGAACGACGCCGTCCGGCGACAACGGCTCAACGGCTGCAGCAAAGCAGCTGGACAGGAGGAAGAGGAGGAGGAGGAAGGCTCCGCAGAACAAGGCTCCAGGCCCACCCGAGCTGGCTCGGCCCCAGAGGAAGATGTCAGGCTCTCTGCTTCGGGGCAAGAGGTGGTCATGTTGAAAAGAAGAGCGGCGGAAGATCTGCAGCCCTCTGGAGAGCCGAGGGGCTCCGAAGATGCCCTGATGGGGGAGCTCTCCGAGATGGTACACAAGGTGGTGAAGAGCAGCAGCTGGTGGGAGAGGCACGGCGTAGATGACACCATTATCGCTCTGAATGTCCTTAACCTACCGCTAGGTAAGGAAGGGGCTCCCACCGGACGCCGGTTTGCCCGCGTTGGGTGGGCGGGAGAGCCCCATCATTCCACCTCGGTTTCTGTTCCGTCCATCGGGAAATCCACTCTTGTTATTAAGCTGCCCTACCACAGGGTGGGTCCTACTACGAAGCAGTGGGAGGCTGTCCCTTTTGCTAGAGAAGGCGAGGGTCAAACGCTCCTGGTTATCATCACACACACAGAGGCATGTTTAAGGCAAGGCTGTCTTGCAACTGTCCCTAAGACAGGGGTGTTGCTACTTCATCCATGGTGTAGTGTAGGCAAAAGACCTAGTTGCTAATCAGGTTGGTGTCTGGTTAGATGATGTAACAGGAGAAGCCACTGAGGAAAACTAACACAGCATGTGTCAGCACCTTAAAGAGTGAAAAGGACTGTGATTCATGCATGGGGGGAGGGGGAGTGTTAGTCTTAAGATCTGACAGCACCCTTTGTTGCTTTTGTAGGGAAAAAAATAATAATAACATCACAGCTCAACTAGGAAAGTACAGTATGTAATTTCTAGTGACTGATTAGCATCTAGCAGTGAAATCTTGTCCTACTTAAGTTTCTTTGGAATTTCTGACTGCTTACCAAGAGATGGGCTAGAGATGAAATGGAAATTTTAACTGATCCCAACTACAGCAGTCTGTAATCCCCCACTCCCCCCCCTTTTTTTTGCATGCTGACAATTTTCATGTAGCAACATGACTTACTATTATCTGATGCACAATAGAAAAAAGGCTGTATCTGCACACTTATTAAAAAAGAGCATAAACTCTGTTCCAGTGTTGTTGTAATTGACAATGGAACAAAATAGAGTCTTAAAGAGTTTGCCATTAATATGTGGTATATGTGGTAAAACATATTAAGCGAGGATAATCATAGTGGATGAACTTTCTATGGTGGTATAAAACTGCATTACCTTGACTTGTACTTATATCCTACAATCTTGTGAAATAGACTGGGTTGAGAATGATTACTTGGGTAGAGAGTGCCTAGTAAGCTCCATGGCTGAGTGGATTTTGAACTTGGTTTCAACACCTCAACTATGACCTTACTTGTTCTGCAGGACAACATTAAGGTGCTGCGTTCTAGTGTGAGACAGCAGAAAGTAATGTCAATTTAAGCAAGTTCTCACTGCATTTCCAAACCCTATTTTGTCTTGACAATGGAACAGACCAGGTATATTATCCACACCAGAAGTGGGGAGGAGTGGGGAACACTGGTAACTGGTTGTAGATGGGTCTGTTGGGATCATTCCCTGGAACTGGAGAACTGGAAACAAAGAACTTTTCTCCATTTCTCTCTCACTCTTCTCTTGCTTCCTGGTGGGAAAAGGGAAAAAGCAAATGTTTTTAGTTTGCTTTTATAGGGAAGAAAGTAGGACGAAAGTGCCATGGTAAAGCTACCCAGGGGTGCTGACAGAAGAGCTCCAGGGATTGCTTTAATTTGGAAAATTTCACTCTAAGGCTTCTAACAGGTGTTCTGTGGGCTCCCTGTTGAAGCTACCTCTGACTTTTTCTATGAAAGAGTTACTGCCACAATTCTATGAAGAAATTGTGGGTCATTTCACTGGGGTTCCATAATGAAACAACCCATGGTTTCCTTGAAGATCTGCTAAAAGATCTGGCAGTCATATGAGAGGGACTATTAGAACAGGCAGACCTGTGAAGAAGTCAACACAGAACTTTCTTAGCCCTGTGGGGAAGGAGCATTTTGTATACAGCTATCAAATACTCTGACGATGGATTACTGGACACGTATCAGCTTAAAATGAATCTGTGGTGTAAGTGGACCAGTGACACATCAATCATGGCCCTCATGACTTCAGTGTGGATGTATCAAAGTTGTGGGGGGCAGGACTAAATATCCCCCAGTTGCAAGAACTGTTCTTGAAACATGTCATTGGTCCTTTGTTGACACATGCCCTATGTCCAAAACTCTGCTGCTTCACTACAGGACTGAAGTACTGCTTTAATGCTGGCTATACTGTCGATCAGGAAGATCAGCAGCTTGGCGGTTTGAATCTCTAGCACCACATCGTGAGTGAGCTCCCGTTAACTTGTCCCAGCTTCTGCCAACCTAGCAGTTCGAAACCATGTAAAAAATGCAAGTAGGAAAACAGGGACCACTTTGGTGAGAAGGTAACAGCGTTCCTTGCCTTCGGCATTTAGTCATGCTGGCCACATGACCATGGAGACGTCTTTGGACAGCGCTGGCTCTTCGTCTTTGTAACTGAGATAAGCACTGCCCCCTAGAGCCAGAAACGATTAGCACATATGTGCGAGGGGAACCTTTGCCTTTATACTGAGGTGGCAAGCAGTGGTATTGCGGGAGAGCACCCTGCAGAACTTCTGCCAAGAGAGCTGGCCTCTCAAAGTGTCCTCCTCCTTTTCTGCATCCCATCAGTTAGGAAGAGAAGTGGGAAACATGGGTATCTGGCTCAGCAGAGAACCTTGGCTATCTCACTACCAAAAAGTAAATGAATCTGAAAACCAGAGGCTGGGGTGTGGAAGGGAGAATGGCCAATGGGAACAGGGTAGGTGCCTTTCTCTGAACTTTGCTTAGAATTATTTGCTGACTGCTTGGTTCTGCTTCTGCCAACCGAAGTATGAAAATACTGTTTTTACAGAGGAGCAAGAAATGAATGGATGCAGGCTTCATGGTGGAGGACAGTGCAATGCATTCCAATTGAGAAATTGTACGTGGGCAGAACACGCAGGGCAGATAAGCCCTAAGTATCTTTGTGCTGTGGGAGTAGTACAGCTGATCTAAAATGATGTCAGGGATGATCAGTCACTGAATACTTCAGAGTATTTTGCTGTACAGTCCTAGAGTTAGTGAAACTCTAAAATGTTTCTCTTTATATCAGAAAGTTCTGCAACAGGAATGCAGGGAGGGAAAGCATGAAGGCATAGCTTCCTCAGTGAACCTTCCTAAGGGCAGATTTAAAATGCTTTTTTTTTTCTGAAGTAGTCATGAAAACAATACCTAAAATGCATTTGTTGGGAGCAAGCTGTCTCAGTGCATTACCCAATAACAATCCTCCTGAATATTGTATATAGTATATGACCGCCTTCTCCAATCTGGTAATGGGAAGATATATTGGCTTGTAGCATCTTTTGGCCATAGCCAACATAACTGAATACCACACTGATAGGAATGTTCTGTACCGTGGCCCAATTCATATGGAAAATATGAGGCTAGGGAAGGTGAAGTACAGAACCCCAAACAATTATATCAATGAAATTAGAAATATTCTTTTGGGACAGCCTCTGGAAACACGTTATTTTTCTTTATTTTCTGTGGAAAATCATTCAGACTTAGTAAGAGGCTCCCAGTTCTGATTCATGCTATCCTTTCATGTGTCTCCATTGGAGACCTTGGGTTACCACAATCTTTTGGCCTTCCTTATTTTATGTGGCATGTTTATTTCAAAGACAAAGTAGGATAATGCAATAAATTCCTTTTAGAAAGGGCAGGGCAGATATACAATATACATGCCAGATTCTCCTATCTTTTGAGATAAAAAGGAGCTGTCCCTTTCTCTGAGTGTATTTTATATGATTCATTTGATATAAAGATTGACAACTAGGGAAAAGCGTGGCTGTTTAATAAAATGCTTTGCAACTATAAATACAGCAACATTATGCCAAGTTGCAAGATGAACACTGGTCCTTCAATTATTCCTAGGCTGGACAAATATCCATTGAGACTATTAATAGAACAAGGTGCCTGCTTATACTGTTAATGGATTATTCCAATAACATTAGGATAATCGTACTGGATGCAAGTCATGTCCTGAAGATATACACTATTTTTGTATTTAAGGTATCAGGATGATGCTTTCAAAAATTAGATTAGAACCAGATGTGATAGCAAATCTGTAAGAAGCTGAAATATGAAATCATCACTGTCATGTCATATTATCTGCTTTTATCCTAGAATGTGACAACACCACCTTATCTCAAGGAATGGTCTTGCACAGACAGAGATAGTCATACTGAATGTTCTCTAAAATGATGGTTCAGATAAAATAAATATATCATATTGCCCACTAAAATGGGCAAAATTGGGTCTTTAGTTATATATTTTAGAGATTGTTTAGCAGAGGTAATTACAACTGGGAAAGGGGTATTAAATTAGAGATTATCATACTACAGCCTTCTTAACTTCTGCCCTGCCTTTCAAATATGATTTGTGTTTCAAATCGGTTGGAGCTACAATATCTGGCAAATCTACAATTGCTAGAAGAGTTCTGTGACTTCACCTGAAATGCCCTGCTGGATCTTTCAAACACAGGAATCTGCATAAAGCACACAATTAGGCAATCCTTAAAGCATTAAGCTTTGATGAACTATAAATAGAAAGGTAATCTCCTATCTCATGACTATCTTTCTATAGACAACGACTAAAGAATAGAAAACAAAGAATAAGAATAAATGGATACTTTTCACAATGAAGAGGTGTAACTAGGAGGGGACTTCAAGGCTCTGTTCTAGGATTGGTGCTTTTTAACTTATTTGTAAAGGATCTGAGATGACTAGTCAACACAGCTTGACACCAAATTGATCAGAGTGATAAAAACAATGAAGGATTGTAAACAGTTCCAAAAGGCTCACTGCACCAATGGGCATCAAAATGTCAGATGTTATTCTGCGTGAGCAAGGGTAAAGTGATGTATATTGGCTCCCCAAATCCTAACTATTCCTACAAACACATGGGTTCAGAATTAGCAGTGATTGATAAAGAAAGAGATCTTGGCATAATGGTAAACAGTTCAATGAAAATGTTGGCACAGAATCAACATCTGCTATAAAAAAGGACAACAACATCATAAGGATAATAAGAAATGAGTTGTCAATATTGTAATGCCCACATCTAGAAAATTCCTGTTGATGAACCTCAAAAAGATAAAGTGGAGTTAGGGAAGGTTCAGAGGAGGGCAAGTGAGATGATGAAGCGGCTGGAGCAGCTTCCCTAAAAATAAAGTTTTCAATATTAGGTCTTTTTTAGTTTAGAAAGAAGATGAATGAGAGGTGATATGACTGAAGTGTACAAAATTATGCATGGTATGGATAATGTGGACAAGAAAAGCTATTTTCCCATTCCCAAAATACTAAAACCACAGGCTACCCAATGAAATTGAATCCCAGAAGAATCAGGGCAGACAAAAGGGAAAAATAGCAATAGCACTTAGACATATACCACTCCAAAGTGCTTTACAGGCCTCTCTAAGCGGTTTACAGAGTCAGCATATTGCCCTCAACAATCTGGGTCCTCGTTTTACAGACCTCAGAAAGATAGGAGACTGAGTCAACCCTGAGCCGATCAGGATTGAACTAATTGCTGGCAGTTGGCAGACTTAGCTTGCAGTACTGCATTCTAACAACTGTGCCACCATGGCTCTTAGGTGTACACAAATACACAGTCAAACCTTGGAATTCACTGCTAACAAGATGTGGTGCTGGCTATCAGTTTGGCTGGCTTCAAAAAGGGGTTGGACCAATTCATGAAAATCATGGAGATCACCCTTGATGGCAGTGTGGCTGTCTCTGAAGGCTTCTATTGAAGAAACAATGGGCTTCCTTGCTTGGTTGGCCACTCTGAGAACAGACTGCTGAACGAGATAGCCAGAAATCTCATTCAGCAGGACACTGGTTATGTTCTCACGTGCCAAGAAAAGGTTGGGCTTCCCTTCTGTAGCTATGAACTAAACCATATATTTGTAAAGACTGCCATGGAAGATGATAAATGACATGCATCTGGACTGCACTGTTGTCTTTGCTTATATCTGGAACGAGATTCTAAGTGCTTCTTTTCCATTTCCAGGATTCCTGCTTCTACGTTCCAGCAATCCTTTTGTGTTCCTGGTGGGCATTGCTGTCCTGGGTGTGGCCTATCATACCCTCACTGTGAAGGCAAGCCACTTGGCTAGCCACAATGCCCTGACGGAGTCCAAATCATGGGGGAAATTATGGAGCATATTCTTCATTGAGGTTTGTTTTTAGCTAATCCCGTTTTCTGAGAGATAGAAAGAAGGACAAGACTTCTGTGGGTATGTGATATTCATCCAAAATGAAAGATTGACACAACCTGCATAAATCACATTAGCTAAACCAAACCAGCATATGCATTTATTTCATTTGCTGTACACACTGCTAAAATTATACAATTTATGATCATTTATGATCATATTTAATAAGAAAGTGAACACGGTCATTTTGAAACATGCCCGTCCTGGGTTTCAAGTTTCAGGTTTCAACATAGCATCAATGTTTCACTACAAGATTATTTGGAAATGCTTGGGGTATTACCAGGGTCATACAACTCAAAGTACAATGCTACAGATTTATTTATTTTTTTCTTAGGTACTGTGGGAGAGAACAACTGGCTTAATGCTACATTAATTCATTCCTTGTGTGAATGCAATGATGAAGTAATAACACCAGCAATTAAATTAATTATGGCTACTTAAAATCAAAGACTTGATAGCAGTTGCTAAGTAGATTAAATCTGCAATCTGGGTCTTTTAAAAAAACATGCTATTTATATTGTGAAGAATATTAATAGTTGGCATTTGATGTTGATACTCCATAAATACACAGTTATTTGGACATAATATCTTAGGAAAGAAGGAGTTATTTCCACATTAATTAACTAATTAAATATGTCAATGATGCTACATCAGTAATCAGAAGTCTTTTCTTAGGTCTAATAAAGTTTTTGTTCCCTCTTTATGGGATCTTGATGGATAATTGCATTAATATATTTGAAAATCCTTTCCTCCTTCCTCTTGTTAGGTCATAGAAAGTAATAACATTAGTGCCACAATCGGCAAAAGCTAGTTCTGTTGTGTTTTTGCAAGTCAGTAGAATTGGGAATATTTAATAGCTTTTAATGTTATTGGCAACTAAGTATAGGAAGCTGTATTGCACATCACAGTAAAATGGAACTAAAATTGGCATTGTTCTGATTAGGGGGATTTCTATACCACTGAAGGGCGGATGGTTGGAACAGCTTGAACTAAATCAGTATCTCTAATCAACAATCAATAATCTATTTCCTTCTCAGCAGCATTCCAAGGAAGTCAAGAATAATTTTTGCATGTAGATTATAATTACATTTTTATTCCTTGTTTGAAAAGAAGGAGTGGGAAATAGCCAGCATACATGCCCCAAGAATGGAATGGGACAACTTGCAGTAGCCAATGGGCCACAGCTAGTTCGCCACAAGACAACTCACCATGGCCAACTCACCACAGGACAACTTGCTGTGGGACAATTCAATTTAATTAGTTAAAATAGTTAAATATATATAATAATTTTTATCAGTCACCTTTCATTTTGTCCCAGCATCCTTTCTTTAAGGATTCTATTGCACTATTTTTTCCATATTAGTGTAACTCTTGTCCCACGGCGAGTTGGCTGAGGGGAGTTGGCTGTAGCGTGGCATGTTGGACATGGTGAGTTGGTTGTGACAAGTTAGCTGTGGCAAGTTGGCCGTGGTGAGTTGTCCATGACAAGATGGCAGTGGTGAATTGTCGTAAACCCTCCCAAATAATAAGGCACTTCTTGGGGAAAAACAAATAAACAACAGATTCACTGACTTGAGAAAGAAAGAAAAAGAAAGAAAGAAAGAAAGAAAGAAAGAAAGAAAGAAAGAAAGAAA